GTATTTTTTTTTTGTTTTGTTTTTTTAACCCTAAGGCATCGTAATTTACCGGCAAAAAACCAAATAAATGACCCCGTGTACGGTTGTGGGTGCTGAATCCGTCAGTGTGATTCCTGAGAATATATTAAAGTCTAAATTAAAGCGTGCTGGAAAAGCGTTAGCTCCTACTGTAATAGTAATAGCGATAATAATAAAATGACAGAATTGGGAGCGATTTACATGTTATTGAAGAGGAGGAATTACTGAAGAGTAATAATAGAAAAGAAAACAAGTCGGAAGCCCGTTATATAATGCACTGTGTAGACAACGAGAACGACAGGCTATTTTTATTTTGTTTACCGTATGCTGTGTAATAGGGACTCCTCTGAGCAGCATCTCTCCCCTATAAGCCCGAACTCCAGATAGAATTGGGGAAAAATTTTAGGCATTTCTTCTACAACCAGACGAAGAAATCTAGATTTGTAAAACCTTCCTCTTTACAAATGATTTCTGTGTACAGAACGGGAAGGGTGTGCAGGTAAATGACCTTTGCCGAATACCTTTTCCCTTTCATATGGTAAAGAAATTCATATTTTGTAAAGCAGCTTACACTTTAACCTTTAACGCTCATGGTTATGTATTTTATGCAGTAATGGTTACTTCACGCTTCAGATACGGTCGGGCATAGTGAGTTACTCTGCTGACACATTGATAAGTCAAGGACTTTTAATTTCAGTTTCGAATGAAACCGTCCCCTGAAGGAAAATCCCGGCTTCATGTTAATCTATTTCTGTTCGAGTGATAGAGACGGTGCAGTTTTATCATATGGAGCAAGGGTTATGAATGGGGGAGAGGGAAATTGAGAATGGCCAGGGAGAATATTGCGCCGTAGTTATTTTTGTGATGCTGCAGGATAATAGTAGTAATTGTACGTTACTGCACCTAATTTATTCGTAAAACCGGCCCGGCATTTTACGGGTAGCAGCTGTTTTGAAAGGGTGGCTGTAATCTCCTCACTTTTTACATAAGGCAGAGGTCGATAGGTTTTCCTCCGTGCTCGGCTGTCTGTCTGTCTCTCTCATCATGTAGCGACATGTCAGCGGTGCAGGCTTTCAGCGCGCTTACTCCAGCCCTGATCAGTCATGTAATTAGATCAGGCTGCCATGGTAACAGACGGGATTCTCCGTATTCACCGGCCAGCCAGGTGCGTGTGTGGCTGCCGGGCGACCCAGCGGGCCAGCCCTGCATGTGCCTCCTTGGTGGCGTGCGGCCGGCGCGGCCACCGCCTCGGGCTTCCCGAAAATTGAAAGATGCCGGCGGTGGGTTCCTAATGGCCGAACTTCCAGGGAAGGGTGTTCTTTGCCCACTGGAGTGTCAGGCAGATGGGACCGTACGTGGCACGCTCAGCAGGTCAGCCAAATCGTCAGTTCCACTTGCGTGTGTTACTAGCAAATTAATGAAGGTGTGGTACTTCGTAAAAATGCTTTTGGCTTATACAAGCTTGCATGAAAGTTTCTTCTGAGTTTTCCTTTTTTTTTTTTTCTTCCTTCTCTTCCCCCCACCCTCTCCCCACTTCCCCCCCCATCCCCGTCTGTCTGGTTTAACTGTTTGGTGGCTGTAGCAGTGTTTGCTAACAGTTCCCATTCCAACATTCTCATCATAGGCCACAGGGTTGTTATTCTCCACTCCTCTACTGTACTTTACACCCTGTGGCTGCTGAGATGAAAATTGGTGATACTTGATGTCAGTATTGTCACTCTGGGTTTGTTGAAGACTCCTCATAGTTCTTAGCAAGGTCTAGGCCCTTCTGTGTGTTCAGTTTCTCATGATAAAAATAATTCTTGCCTCAGCAAAGACTTTGTTTCTAATATAGGTGTATATTTTGCATTTATCTCATCAAAATATTATAGCCATAGAGCAGGAGACTTTCTGACACAGTTTATAATAGCGTCAAAGAATATGTAATATAATAAGCTTTGAACTGCGTGTTGCTCTTAAAAACATGTTTCACCAAGCAGTGTATATTTGTCTTCATTCTCATTGTTTGAACATGACTCTTTTAAGCCATTTTTCCATAAATGTAGGTATAATTTTTTAAAAGCACTAAATTTGGCACTGTGTTCTAATGTCATAAATCTGGAGTAACTCCAGGGGATGGGATTGTGAGCCACTTACATGGGTGTATATCTCAAATAACTCCATTTATTGGATTTAATCCAGGCATGTAGTAGAGTAACCAAGCTCAGAAAGTGATCTGCTGCATATCACTGTTATTTTCTCTATATTGCTTTTCATGGCAAAAAGCACTGTGGGTTTAAATAGGATTTTTGCCTGATTAAGGAGCAGCATTAACTGTCTATAGAAGTGGGTAACACCCCTACTCCTGTCACTAATCTTGGGTGCACTGACACTAATATTGAACTTGGCCCGGAGGATTTTGTGTCTCAGTGATGAGAAATCATCAGCACCCACAGCTCCTGAGTGTTTGTAGTACCAGGCTGGAACATAAAGCAATCCAGAAATATCTCAGTAAAACAGATATTTTAATCACTCTGATGGTAAAGCACTGGAGCTGGAGGAGGAGGCAATGAGAAATGCCTGTTGGTGGTTCAGCTGTTGTGGCAACAGGCAGTGGCAGTCTTGGGTTTGGTGTGATGAGTTTGCAGGTCTCAGCCTGCCTGCTGAGCAGGAGTGTTTCTTCTTGGAAGGGTGAGGGGACAGAGTATTTGCAGGCAATTTCCTGCACTGAAGTGCAACTTCTCAGTGCCTCAACTAACTTGCCCTTTTGGTTAGGAAGGAATAGCCTCTGCTCGGTGCGGCTGCCTCCATTCTGAGGAGGTGTCTTGAAACAGAAAAGCTTGTTAGGAGGACTGGCTGGAGAGAGTGGAATAGTCATGAGCAAAATAACTCCTGTAGTGTGAGCCTTTGTGTGCTGCATGCTGCTTATACATATTTTATTGTAAGACAAATTACCTGTGTGACTAAGAGTGTTAGAAAGTAATTATTTTCAAAAATTCAATATATACATAGTTGAAAAAACTTTTCTGAAAAATAAACAGTGCAACTTTGCTTTTCTAGCCTGATTGGATCTATTTAGAAAGGTTGAAAAAACTAGTTTTGTTTTAAAAGACATTTGCAAGAGACATGGAATTTCACTTTACAATTTTTTTTTATGTAATAGATCCAGTGGCCTAGTTTCCCATTAATTAAGAAAATAGACACTTGAATGCAGTCACCTGAAAAACAACTAAAGATTTAAACATTAGAATTTTAAAGTAATTGTCTTGGTAACATGTCTAGTAAAACAAAATCAAGGCCTAATTTTTCCCCTTGCTGAGGTTTAGCAGCGCATCTTAGCAGATGACAGTCAGGATTGTCATTGTTCATATGTACACTGCTTTTGTTGTGGTGTACTAATTGAGGGGGAAATGCAATGAAAAAAGTGTGGCAGGCTGTAAAGGAAGTGCTTGTCAGGGTTGCATAGTTGGTCTTGAAGCACTGGCTGGCTGCAAACCTACTCCAGCGTGCGAGGCAGCTGCTGGTGGTGATGCTTGAGAGAAGTCAGGCTGTGTGACAGCCTCAGCTATAACCACACAGGTTGTGAGTGATTTGCTTGTTCTGGAGAACTGTGCAGGTATGGTGTGTACAATTCAGAGAGTGCAGATAACAGATTTAGTTGTAGGTCTCTTCTGAGACTGCTGTCACCAACTCTGTGTTAACAGATAACGATATAATTAGAACAAGAAAGAGAAGTATGGCAGGCTTGGCACAGGTAAATATTTCATTGCAAATGACTGACTTGCTATATTCCAGTGACTTCAATAGCCTAAGCTTTGCAAAGTGAAAATCCCGTCCAAATGTGATAAATAAATAAACAGGTATTCGGTCAAAGGCACTGTATTTTGAAGTCTTATTCAGTGGTTCACATTCTTTATATGAGAAAATTGAAGATTTTTACATGGTTTTGGCTGAGGTGATGCATGACTAACATTTTAAAATGTAAGAAACTTTGCAGATTCCTGATTTTTGCAAAAATACAAAAACTAGATCCATGACCGTAACTCCTTTTTGATCTCAGTGCGTGTGTTGAGAGTGTAATGCTTCATGGCTTTTTTTTTCTTTCAAAGCTGTACTCTGAAGTGGTTGTACAACACATGCAAATCTTTATGTGTGCATTGGTCCCAGTCTGCAAAGTTACTTTAGTAGATGTCCCAGTGAGTAGATGTCCCAGTAGAAATCCTCATTTGCTGAATGAGGATTGATTAAAGAACCTATCTAGAGTTAAGTATGCGTGTAAATCCTTTCCTAAATAGGAACAAGTAAGTGTGCTCATAAACTGAAACAACAGAAATGATTCTCAGTGAGGGAGAAATGGTCCCACTAAATCCTTTTATTGTACCAAGGGTGATAAAAATATTTGGTGAGATTCCAAATGAAAACCCCAAATGTATTTTAGTAGGTGATGTCAGCAGAAGTTCAGTGCTGGTTCTTCATGATTTTGCTGAGCAAAATCACAGAAAAAAATGAAAAAACTACATTGTTAAAGTTTTTTTTTTGTTTATATTTTTGGGAATTTACAGTAATAGGCATCAACTGTAGCATGCCACCTTTAATGACAAAATAGTGTACAAGGTAAAGTCACATTTCAATGGGTGATTATTTTTCACCTAGTAGTAGTAATTGCAGCACTACGTTTTCAGGATGCTACTGCTTCTCAAATAAAATATATTCTGTTGGCAGTGAAGACAGTCATCTCCACTTGCTTATGATTCTTCACCTCATTAAGATCACATTTAGGAAAAGAGCACTCTGAATAAATGGGCTCTGCTCTCTACTGGATGAGCTCTGTCTGCAGAATTAAATCTATGGTTTATTTGTGCTTGAGTAATAGTAAAAGCAGCCTCTCTCAGTCTTCATTGGGATATCTTAGTGTGTTGTAAATGACTGTAAATGTTGACTCTTAACTGTGTTTTTGTTTCTCTTTATTTTGGTTTCCATCTCCTCAACTCCTGGATCAACAGTCACATTGCAGGCCAAGCCAGATGGGCAAGCAATACAAGCTGTGAATTTATTCTTGACCCCGTAGGACAGTGACCACCATCAGATTTTTCTTCACCCTACAGTTATGCACTGCCAATAAGGTGAGAATGCAATGCCTTTTTTTTTTTCCTTCAGCAAGTGTACACTGTCTGCTCTGGGCTTTAGGCAAAGTGCACATCTTCCTGGTGTCTGTGTGATTACCTACCTGTGATAGGTTTGTACTTCCCTTGCCTGGCAGCAGAGGTCCTTGAGAAACTCTGCTCAGAAAAATTCTTTTAACTCTGATGACTCAGTTCTGTGACTTACAGAACAGGTGGGTTCCAGATGGGTGGTTTTATGCTCACCTGAGGTCAGAGTGTATTCAGTTACTGGAAGATGTTAGTATGAATGGAAAAGTTGGCAGACTTTGATTCTTGTTATAAAATGCCATGTGTAAAATTGAATAAATCCTTCCTTCACTTTTATGATCATTTTCAGGATTCCTGTTGCTTGTCACCTGCTTGGCTTTTCCACTGTCTTGAGTTTCTTCTGTGCATTAAACTTTGTCCAGCATTAGAATAGTTTCCAGAATAATTGTATCTGTGTGTCTTTTGCTCTGTTTTGAGGAATGCTTTCAGTTCTTCTGATTTTCCTCCCTGAAATGCTGTTTCCAGACAAGATGTAAAAGTGCACATGTATCAGTCTGCTGCTGTCCTTTTCCTCTCTCTCTCCTTACCATATGGTTGTGGAAAATAACTTGAAAAGACCAAGTCCCAAGACTCAACAATCATACTGCCAATAAAAAGAACATAAATTTTTATTTTATTTCTTTAATCTGATTGTCATTAAGCCAGCCTGGTTTTTTGGACCTATTCTATGATTTTTAAGTGCTTGGGATTGGCAATGCTGCTAATGCTTTAAGAAAAAAAAGATAAAGGGTCATAATAAAATTGCCTGTGTCTTTAAATAAAAGAAAATGAAATATAGTTATTGCTTGCAGAAAACCAAAGGGTTTCTTTTTTAAATTTACAATCTGAAAGCTTAATTACAATAGCACTCTTATTTATGTAGGGCTGATCAGAAAGTCTCTGTTGCAGAATAACTTCTTAATGTATACAGCATGTCATAGAAAAGTACGCAGTGCATCATTTACATTTTACTGTGGCTGTGGGGAAGGGTGCTGTGTTTTAGAGGGAAGTTGCCTAGGCAAGTAGTTACATGCAAGGACAGGCCTGTTACAATTTCCAAAAGAGCTTGAATGATGGGAGTGAGTGGTAACCACTGTAACTTCAGAGCAATAAGAGTAAAAAACTACACAAAGTGCCCATGCACTGGCACACTTTGTCTTTCCATTTTGGAAGAGAACTGAATTGGTAGCAGCTATTGACTTGGAACATCAAATAGAAAAAGTTTTTTATTATGATGTTATCAGTTATACAAAACATTTAATTTTTTATTTTTTAAGATTAACTTGGGTTGTGGAAAAATGTGTTTATTTTAAGAAGTGATTACTGCTGGAAAAATGTGTATATCTCAATTAGAAGAAGTAGTTGTTTATAGGGCATTAGTCAAGTCCTATGAATAATCAGATTGTGTTACCCACGATGTATTGCTAAGTCACCTTGGATATTTTAGCATCTGATGTTTTCTGCAATTGCATGAGAGACAATATATTCAATGTTAAACAAATATTTTAAATTAAAAATGTAACCTAGCTAGTCTGATAGGAGTATAGTACTAAAGTGCTTGTTTTCCTATACCAACTCAGCTTGAAGTTTAGTATTGTATTTGTGGACCTTAGATGAGGTTAGATTTGTTTTAACTTCTTATTGTTGGACATTTTAGTTACTGAGTTGGAGGTACCTCTGTTGACCTCATTAGTTCTTATTTTTTCTATGGAGCAATCAAAATCAGGCCCACTGTATAACTAAATAAGTGAAATAAAAGTTATTGGGATAGGCACTGCGTGCTTACAAACTTTTCTCTGTTACTGGAGGAAACAGGCAGGAGCTCACAGTAGTAACATGTAAAAGAAACATGATGTGGCACTGTGCAGGGAGCAACCACAGACAGAGCATTTCATACTCACACTCATCATCTTTCTGGCTTTTGCATTTGTTTTGGGGTGAAGGTGGAAACTGTCCTGCTCCATTTTAGGCAGACCTGGGTTATGACCCTGGAGTGTGACAGAGGGAGAACATGGGACACGTTTGAAGGCATCCAAAATGCATCTCAGAAGCCATACTTGAGGCCTGACGTCCCTGCATGTGCATTCATGGCTTCACTCGTGTGAGGAGTTGCGTGGCTTCAGTGGGTAACATCTTTGTTGTGTGTCAGCTGTCCAGGTGTGCTTACCTTGTAATTCAAGCAATGTTTTCTGCAGAGCCAGCTAAGCATCTTGCCTGGATAAGGACATGGGTATTAGTAAAAGTAAAGCAAAAATAAATAAAAAGATACAGCTTTCTTTCTTTTTCATTTTTAGTTAATTTTTGCCTGCTCTCAAAAACATAGAGTTATTGTTATTTGTTCAGAGCATGCACTGCCTCCTTCCACGTAGGCAAATGACTCAATGCTTTCTTTTATACAGTTGTCTTGAGAGGATTTTGCATGAGGTACTGGATATTTTAACAATTAAAGAGGTCTTTTTAATCTTTTCTGTTGTCGAGTCACTTGATATTTATTAATCATAGTACTGGGATGAATTTACAGCTGCAGCCCATTTGTAAGAAATTTTTTTTGGCTGAATTTTAAGTAAGTATGCCTGTATGCTACCCAATATAGCTAATTTTTACATAAGACATAATTTCTGTTTTATGCAGACTTCTGACTACCTCTCTCTGTAAACAGGCAACAATCTGCCCTTTTAAAATACTTAATATTGAGCATTAAAAGAATGAATTTATCTCTGTATTACTGTGTGCAGTGGTAGCTTTTTGGTTTTCATATCAGGGTCCTTTTATCATAGCTGGTTTTATTTCTTCCCTTATGCTCTTTGTGAGGGCCTGCAATATCTGTAGGGCTAAAAGAATGTGGGCAATGGAGATCTCTAATGTTTTAAGTGAACAGCACAAGTGAAATGGAGTTGTGAACTAGCTATAACTGGATAGTAATTAGGAATATTTTTTTTTAAATTGTTTATATGCCAGCAACTAAAAAATAAATTAAATGAAGTGATGTGAATGCTGATGGATGTCTTAAAAATGAGGCTTTGTGGTGCCCTCACCTCAGCCATAACCTTTCATGGTTTTCCCCTGTTGTTCCTACTGCAGATACTGAAGGCCTGCTGTCTGACTGATAGAAAGTTTCATAACATGGTCTGAAGTGTAAATGGCATGGAGTGCAGTGGTATGCCTGCATAAAAACACAAGGCTGACATTCATAATGTGATATAAGGCACTATCTGAGGTTTGATTCGCCTTCCAACTTGGTGTTTTAAAAGGTGTATTTGCAAATGGAATGAGATTTGCTGTCCCACACTCTGCAACTTGTTAGCATTCCTTTAAAAGTGTGGGCTTTTGCATGTTAGTGTGAGTAGATGGAGAACCTCCATGTGCTGGGGGTGAGGAGTGGTGAGGTGTCTGGATGTGCTGTGCAGTTGTGTGCAAGCCTGAGCATCTGTGTGTGCCCTCCTGCTGCCTCTCCCTTGGCTCTGTGTGTTGGGCAGGGCTGTGCTGCTGGGGTTTGCCTTGCCTTGAAACCAGGGCTGTGCTTTTGAAAGAAAGTTAGCCCTTGTTATTAGGGGTATAATTTTGGTATGAAATTAGCCCAGGTGGCAGCATCTGGATTTAAATGTATTGGCTGAGGGGTTTCTCATGTTGAGACACTGTGATAGAGGCAAACCCTGAATTTGATAATTGCCTCTTTATTTTCTCATCAGTTACTTTTTTTGGAAGTAGCTGTAAACCTGACTTCAAGATTTATTGAGTCACTCCTTGTTCTATGAAAAGTACAAATGCCAAAGTGTTCCTCACTTGTATTGGAGTGTGGCTGTGACCATCACCACATTTTGCCTGTCAGGTACCCATGTATGAACGCCTTTGTAGTTTTGTACAGCTAACATTTCTGTCAGGCCAGCTGCTTGAAAGAAAGTCAGGCTTTAATGGAGACGGATAATTACAAAAGCAGGCTTAATCCTCCTTTACCGTGTTTTGTGCTACTGAATATTTTCTCATTGGTGTGGCTCCTTTTCAGTGGCACATGTAGTAGCTGACTAGAAAGTGATATTTTCAAATGTATATAATAATAAATGCATTTCTCCTCTTCCGTAGCCCCTGAGCACATTTTCTGCTTGGTACTGTGCTGTATTCATAGCTTTCCCAAGGTAGTCTGACAGCAAGTAGATCCAGAATGGTTTGAAAATTCAATATATTCAAGGGAAAAAATCGTAGTAGGTTATTACGGTACAAGAAGTTGTAACTTTATTCTCCATGTACCACTAGCAGTTAAAAACCCATCACACTAATCGTATGTACTGAATTTTTATTTACAGATTAGGAGGCTCTACTTTGACATATGACTAGCAAGGAAGCCCCTCCCTTTAACAGTTGTATGTCATCTGCTTCAGAGAACTAATTACTTGGCAATTCCCATTTGATAATTCCCTCTTTATTTTCTGATGAGTTACTTAACAGTGATGAGCTTGTTGAGCAGAATGCCGTGTTTAATCTGTGCTTCAGAAACTACAGTGTGGGCCTGGGGATATCATTGTTTCTGAAATGCTGTTTAGCCTTGCCATAGGACCATTGAAACCACACTAAGATACGTGAACAGTTCACAGTTAATGATCAGTTGAACGTGAGTGATGCACAGCAACTGCCAAAAAATAAAGGAAGGGTTTACATTGCTGTTGCACTGAAGCAGGAAGTTTAAATATGGAATTTCTCAAAAGAACCCCAAGCACCAATCCTAATGTAATTTAGATGCTCAGAAGCAGAAGCTTATGTCAGAGATATACCTTCTATGTATCATTGATCTTCTCCACTGAAACAATGAATTTAATGGAATTTTTTAAAAAAAACCACTGTTTATTGTAATACCCATCTGACAGCTTAGCCGACTCCTGGTGGTTTTTGTGTTCTTTTAACATGAGGTACTTCAGTAAGTTTTTACATTGTTTTCTCTG